AACCATTTACCTAATTGTCATACTTCTTTCCCTATCACCTCTCACATTAACAATTGATAAATATTGTGAATTTTTTTTTTTTTGGAATCTAAGGGTAAAATAGTTATTTAGTTTCATTGAGACATTAAAATATGTAAAAGCAACCTACTTAAGCAAAACCTATATGGTGTTCCACATACTTCTACTTGGTTCATCAATAATAGCCTCCCCCTTCCATAACTTGTAGACTATCATTCTAAATACCCGAATTCATAATTTCACTAGTCATCACCCAAATACCAAAATTACCCCTCCCTTATTGCCAAAGTAAATAAAGTTCAATTGATTTTCTTAGTTTTTTTTTTTTTTTTTTTTTTCACTTTTAGAGAACGTGTTTATATGATTAGCTACTCTCTTTTTTTCATGATATCTTCAAGATGAAACTCAAATGAAGCCATTTTTATTTATGGGCAATCCAAGTTTTGGCATGACAGGTGGTCTTCAAGCTGAAAAGACAACACCAATAGTATGTGACATGACATCTCATTATTTTTCAATCCGTTTTTTTCACATATTCTACTAACTTTTTCACTTTCAAAATCAGGTTGAAAATGTTTATGCTGATCATTACTTTAATGGACTATATACCCCCTATGGACCACAACCTATTGTAAGTTCCCCCTTACTTATGTAATCAAGATTCATGAATATACTCCCTATAATGAAACTATTATCAATATTTTGACCAGATTCAACCTCATTTCATACAAATAGCTCCTACCCGAGTTCCACTCCCCATAGATCTATCAGAAGATGGCCCTATTTATGTCAATGCAAAACAATATCATGGTATCCTCAGAAGGAGACAGATTCGAGCCAAACTTGAAGCTCAAAACAAACTTGTCAAAAACCGAAGGGTACCCACAATCTTTCTTGATCTTAACATTAAGAAAGTAGACATCTTTAGTGATCTTTGTGTGTGAAATGACTTTTGCAGCCTTACCTTCATGAATCTAGACATAAACATGCTTTGAATAGGGTTAGAGGTTCGGGTGGGAGGTTTCTTCCAACCAAGAAATCTCAACAACAATCAAAACCTGCAAGATTCTTGACATCCCATTGCCCTTCAAGTTATCAAGAAGCTAATCAATCTGGAATGGAACATGAACATTATCATGGGTATAGTGGCATTTCATGGGGGATAAGGGGAAATGAGGGGTTTTTAAGCACACATCGGGTGGACAATCATGATTGATATTGGCTGGTGAGATAACACACCGGTTGGGCAACTCATCCTTGGCTTTGTTACTAAGTTTTTGATGTTCATTTTGTGTTCATTGAGCTTAGGTTTATTGTATTTGTTTGAGAAAAGATTGTAGCTTACTTGAATGGTGTTTGGAAATTTGAATTTCATAAATTGAAGGGTTGGTTTATGATTATGGAAATTGTGATTTGTTATGATATTGGTTAGGCTTGGATGTAGAGTTGCAGAAAATGTCGAAAGTGTTTGAGTTTTACAGGATGTAGTGTGAGAGTTTTGATGTAGTATTAAATTTCTTTAAATAGTTATCAAAAGAAGTTAAATGTTAGTATTTAAGAAAAGCAAAGCTTTTACCTTTTGCCAAGATGTTTATTGCTAGAATCACCTACTTGGAAAGATTAAAAAAAAGGCAAGGGGGAACATAACTATAGAATAAGAAAATGCAAGTCATATTCTAAAATAAAGTATATAACTAACTTAAAGAATAAGTCTTTTGTTTGAAAACAAAATGACATTTTTTATTGTATTGAAAGTTCTGACTTCTATGGGTAAGTTTTTAATAGAAAATTCCTTTTAAGGATGATAGATAGTCGTTGTTTGACTTTGGGAAATATCTATGTGACCCACTTATAAAAAAAGCTTTTCTGTATTCCGTTCAATTATAAAAATATGGAAAGATATAGATCGATTGCGTAATAGGGTTTATTCTATTATTTATGTCAAAATTGGAAAATAGCCAACAAAAAACATACAATTTATATTTATTTGATGACCAAATCACAAATGTCTATACGTAAACTATCTAATTTAAATATCTATTAGTCAACGTATTAAAACCAAACTTTGAATTAAAAAAAAAAAATGAAAGAGAAAATGACAAGGAGGGAGGCTAGGTTTGTACGTTTTGGAAAAGCCACAGGAATTTATGTTAGTTTTTGCATAATGATTTTAAAGATTAAACTTAATACATATATATATATATATATTTAATGGTTTTGATGGAATGAACTTTTAAGTAGTATTTGAAATAGTTTTGAAAGAAAAAAAGTATTGATTAAGGAATAAATGAACTCTTTTCAAAGGAGTAAGGTAAAGTTTTGAAAGGTATGTAATTTGGAATAAATGAACTCTTTGCAAGAGTATTTATTGATGAAATTTTTAATATGTGCCTAATTAATGTATTTCATATTTAATTAAGTAATATTCCTCATAATTAATAGTTTTTATATGTGCAACATATTATAAATTTCATTTATTGATTATATATGTAAAGTTTTGAAAAGCAAGTAATATGTAATCCTATTTAATAAAGGAAACTTTTTGTCCATATGTCATTTCCACCAAGCATTTTACATTAAAGCGATGTTCAATTATACCCCTCATTCATTCAATATTCAATTCAATTCGTCATTCATTCAATATTCAATTCAATTCGGTTTTTTTTTTTTATCTAATTTCGGCTTTTTACATATATATAACCTGATTTAATATCTTAATTGACTTAAATGGTCCATGTTTCATAGTTTTTCTAAAAAAAAAATTAGTTAAAAGTTTACAATTAATTTAAAATTTTCACAACATACTGTTATAACACTAATGGTTTTCAAATTAATACTATACCTTATGTTAATATTTTCTTTATGCAACATATTCTATTAAATTATATTTTTTAATTGATATTTAAGAAAATGAAAGTGTTGAACTCAAATTTAAAAATTAAATAAACAATATATAAACATCTTAATTATTTATTTGTTTTAAATTTAATATACATTATTATTTACAAAATAACTTTTTACTATCATGTTTTTAATAAACTACTTTAATAAAATTTTATAAATCTTTGATTTTTTATCATCATTTTTAATCATTAATATTAATTTTCTTTCTTACTCGTGGTTTCCACCGGTTGTAACCTAGTTTGGAATAAAAGTAAGTAATTTGGAATAAATGAACTCTTTATTTGATGACCATAGTAATTAAGTGTCTGAAAATGTTAGGTGTTATAATTATGTTTATTAAGGTGTTTGGGATTATTTTTTATATAAATAAACTTGATTGTATTGTTTCATACCGATTTAAAAGATTAAAAAAAAAATACAATTTTATTAAAAAGGATGGTGGCCAATGCATGTTAGGCTTATGGGGTATCATTATTAGTGAAACCACAACTAAGCCAAAACACAAATATAATTAGAATCAATATCACATATGCATTTGTCTCATAACATGTTGTTGTCTTGTAACCAATCAAGATTGGCTTCGGAGGCCACAAAAGCATAAGAATGAAGCCTCTACTACCGAATACAACTCTAGACAACCAAATTAAATGGGTAAAGAAACAAGTCTACTAGGGGTGTTTGGATTTCATTTTAAAACAACTTTTGGACTTTTAACTTTTCCAAAAAGTTAAAAAAAATCTAAAAGATATTTGGCAAAATAAAAAAGTTCTTTTAAATCAACTTTTTGTCATAAACAAAAAGAAGTCTTCTTAAAAGTCATGAAATCCCATCTTTTTATGATTTTTGGTTTTTCTCTTAAAAATCTTAAAAGCTAAGTCAAACACATTTTAAAAACCTCATTTTAGAAAAAGTCATTTTTACAAAAGGACACTTAAGTTAAAAAAGTAATCCCAAACACACACTAGATGTCTTCAAAGACATGACCTCCACAAACCTTCATATCCTCCATCAACCCACATAACTCTGTGTCAAAGAACACTGACGTATCCTCTATATGTATAAGTTAATACGTCCCCAAGCCAAAGAAAAGTTTGACAATACACATACAAATCGAAACAAAAGGAGCTGACTCTGCATGTCACCAAACTATAAAAGAAAAATAAAAGAAAAACACAGACTTAATATGACCAATTCATTAATAAAACACTTATCTATGCAAACAACCCCTCCAAGATCCTCACCCACAATAACGAAGTTCCAATGTCAACATGGACAAACCCTTATGAAGTTTCCTACCATCACATTAATATCAAAATAGTTTACTTTTCTTAATATTTGGTTCAATATCCAATGTAGGATCGGTCATCCAACACTCATAAGAGTTTGTTCTAAAAAAATTGAGGGGAAAAGAAAATTTTATAATGTTATAATTGTTGGGGAATTTGAAATAGGGTTATAGAAAATCTGGATTACAAACAAGAATCATGTAAACATTTTCCTTGGGTATCACGAAATTCAAACTGGGATAATTCCTGAAGTAACAATTTTGATTTTAGGCATAAAATTATGATCAATTTTGAAGAGATGAAGAAGAAGAAGCGTCCGTTGTTTTTTCTCTGTGTTTCAATCTATATGTCGTTTCCCTAACTTATCCAAACAATTGATAAATGAAAAAACGGTTTTAATCTTTTCGAGAATGACAATTTAATCTTTGTACTGTTTTAATCTTTTGAAGAGAAGAAGAAGAAGAAGCGGGACCCCCGACTTGACACAACATATTAGGGTTCAGTACTAATAACGTTTAGTAGATACAAGTGTGCACACTCCCGCATCCACTAACTTGTATTATAACAAAAAAAACATTATTTTTGAAACACTTGTTAAGTCCATTACACTAAAATATATTTGGTGATAAAATAATTTGTATTTTCGTATAGTTAACAAAAAAAAATGAAAATGATATTTTTTATTAAATTTGAGAGAGAAAAAAAAAAAGGCAATCTCTATTAACTTTTTCCTCTTCGAAGAAACTCACAGACACGATTATTTTTTCTTCCTTATTTTTCCCACTTTTTTTTTTTTTTTTTGAACACGTTGCTAGTGATTTGGTTAACTCCTTTGCCAAGGAATTCACTGTGTGTGTGTGAGAGAGAGGGAGGTGGCGATGGTGTCGTACAAGAGCTTGTTGATCTACGGCGTCGGCGGAATAGCGGTGGCCGGAATGGCATTGCTGGTAGCCTTTCAGGAAAAGTTAGTTTACGTCCCCGTCTTGCCTGGTCTCACAAAGTCCTATCCAATCACCCCCGATCGTCTCCGCCTCATTTTCGAAGACGTATGGCTTACTTCTTCCGATGGTGTCCGCCTTCACTCATGGTTCATCAAGTTCTCACCCAATTCCACAGGTCACCATCTCTCTCTCTCTCTCTCCATATATGAACATGCATACATCAATTCACATATGTGATCTCCTTTACCGTTTCAATTATGCATCACTTCTGTTCAAATCGTGGAAATTCGTCTCTGCTGGTGAATTTAGGGTTTATATGTGTTTTAATTTACCCTATCGGATGATCACTGACGATCCATTCGGAAGAGAATTCTTAACTTATCTCCATCTCTTCTCAAATTTGTGATGTCTGCAACAAAATGTAAAAAGTATTCTTCAATTTAGCTCCATCTGTTCCCAAATTTTGGGATTAAGAGTATACATGTTCAATTTGCAGGCCCAACTATTCTGTTCTTCCAAGAAAACGCTGGTAGTATCCTTCTTGGTGATATAAATTCTGAATATATATCATACATGATCATCAAAAGCCTTGACTTATGAACTAATAGACATTGCACATCGTCTTGAAATGGTGCGCATTATGTTACAAAACCTACACTGCAACGTTTTCATGCTTTCTTACAGAGGGTATGGTGCTAGTGATGGTTATCCTTCTCAAGAAGGAATCACCATGGATGCACAGGTTTGCTTTCTAGCCAATACTTTTTATACAATTTCATTTTTCTTTCTCTATCTTTTATACATCCATCTTTTTCATTTTCACTAGGCTGCTTTAGATCACCTGAGTCAAAGAACAGACATAGACACTACTCAGATAGTAGTATTTGGAAGGTCTCTTGGTGGGGCAGTTGGTGCTGTGGTTACCAAAAATAATCCAGATAAGGTATACAATAATATATAATTTATAAACTTATTTATAAAAGTTCATTAACTTAAGATTTTTCAGGTGGCTGCATTGATATTGGAGAACACTTTTACTTCAATTCTAGACATGGCTGGAGTTTTATTACCTTTTCTGAAGTATTTCATTGGAGGAAGCTCAAGCAATTCTAAAACACCAAAAATTCTGAATTTTGTTGTCAGGTCTCCTTGGAACACTATTGATGTAATTGGAGAGGTATTATTCATTCGATATACATTAAAAAGTGTAAAGATTTATCTTCTATAGTTTTATAAATCAAAAAGTTGAAAGCTTTATTCAATATACACAGATAAAACAGCCGATTTTGTTTCTTTCTGGGCTACAAGATGAGATGATTCCTCCATCTCACATGGAGATGTTATATGCAAAAGCAGCATTGCATAACAAAAGATGCATTTTTGTGGACTTTCCTAATGGCAAACATATGGACACGTGGCTGGTTGGTGGTGATGAGTATTGGGAAGCTGTTCAGACATTTTTACAGGAAAATGTGTTGGAGAATGGAAATGGTATGTTTTAGATCCATCTTTACATTTTTTTAAACATTTGTGTAAAGTGTATGTTTATATATATTATAAGCACATGGAATTTATTGGAAACAGTTTTTGTAACTCTTCAGATTCTTAACAATTGCAGTGGTCAAAAGCTCTTTGTGAACTGCCATGCCTTCTTCCTGCACAAATCTGAAAATACATTGGGATTTTTTGGGCTCATGAAAAGGGTCCGGATTTTTATTCATATTTGTGTGTGTGTGTGTGTTTTGTAGAATTGCAAATATTATATGACTTTTAAGAAAATAGAAAGTGGTGTAGATTGCAGCTTTACACAAAGCATGGAGTTTTACTGTATCAAGTCATTAACCACCGGAAGAATCCAAATCAACAGAAACCGGCTAAGAATATTTTGTCTTTTTCTAGGTTGTGGTTGAGTTTTTTGGACCTTTTTGTTGTCGTTATCATCGAGGTTTTTAGGTTGGGATTGAGAAAATGAGACTTGAGTTTGGGGTTGAAATGATTTGCTTGAAATTGTTGAGGTTAAGACGGTTGTTGTTAAAAAGCTGGAAATTGTGATGATTGAATTGTTGTGGTATAAGTTGTTGGAAGTAATTTGGGTTATGAATAGTTAGTGAATAGATGATGTTGAATTGGAGATGTTAACATTTACACGTAGTTACCAACATGTGAGAATGGATCATTTGAAGTGTTTGAGGTTTTTGGGGTGTTAGGAGTGGTTTGAGTATTTTAGTTTGGATCCATATTTTGAAGAGAATAGGATATAGAAAAAAAAAATGTAGGTGTTTGTAGTCGGGGTTGATTCCACTATGGTGCCCATAATGTCATCGACAACCCCTGTTTTTTTTTTTTTTTTTTCAGATGCAGTGTAAAAAATTTCGAATTTTTCATTTTTGCTACTATTGTGTCGCTATGTAAAAAATATGTCACCGACAACACTTAATACAAAATCTAGAATCTGTCATTGTTTATAGTGTGAAATATATATAAAATGGTTAAAATTTATGAATAAGAATTGGTACGATTTAAATATAGTTTTTTTACATGGCAACGACAATATGCAACAATCTAAATTGTGAGTGTTTAAGGGAAAACCAACGGAATGTTTCGTAATCTCCTATGACCGTAGCCAAGCCACAACATATTTACGTCCCTTTGGGCTGGTTTTCACGCTTAGACATCTACGCCATGCCAGAACTTACTCGTAGATCCTTACCTCATACAAGAAAATCTTAGGCCGGAAGGAGTGGTGCAATAAGAACCACATTCCCTCCTTTGACACGTATGAGCCTTATCATTTATACCACACAAAATGTGGTTCTTTACCACACCTAGGGTGTGTGAACTGTGTGTGTGAGAGAGAGACTTTTTGGGAGAGGTGCGGCCGAACCGCACCCAAGACCGCATAGGGAGGGTAGTGTTCCCCTGCCTATGTGGCAATGAGTGCGGCCAAACCGCAATCCACTTCTTTAAGCCTTAGGGTTAAACTCTTTCAACCATTTTAATTGAAAACGTTATAAATCCCACACAAGATGTTTGTGAGTGCTAACTAAAGCCATTATCTCAATTTTGGTGCCACTGCAGGCTGTAGCCACACCCTTTGACCAAAAAGTAATTTGGTCTATTTTGCGACAAATCTTTTATAAAAGAGAATTGTGTTATATAATAAAATATTTTTCGGAGTATGCATTTATCTAAAAAATAAAGTAGTCAACCAATATTATATAAGAAAGAAAGTAAGAAACCCATCTGCCCTCTCTCTCTCTCTCATACACACACAAATACAAAATTCCATGTTCTTTTTTTGTTTTATATGAAGTTAATGGATGCTAAAATCCATCTCTGAAAATCAAGTTTTCTTTTCAGCGCACATACAGTGAACGTGTTTTCTCCTCGGAGAGCGACGGCGATAATGGACGCTGCCGGAGCCGCTGCATACAATCCTCGGACCGTTGAAGAAGTCTTCAGAGATTACAAAGGCCGTCGTAGTGGCATGATCAAGGCCCTCACAACCGGTGCGCCTAATCTCTTCTATTTCCTTTCCTAATTATCCAATCTCAATTTCTCACTCAACGAATTTGCTCAAGTTTCAAGTCTCTAGGGTTCGATTCCTAATATCTGATATCGTCTATTTGTTTCGCATTGTAGATGTTGAAGATTTTTTCCGGCAGTGCGATCCTGGTTCGTTCCTAGGGTTTCAATTTTCCAGCTGTTCTTAACTTCTTATCACTTTCTCCCCGTATCATATGTTTTACAATTTCATCAACTGAAGATACATGATTAGGTTTTGTATTTCCTTTCTAAAAAGGAGATAACTGTGTGATGTTTTGGAGCTATTCGGATCAAATATGTTATAGAAACAATTGGGGCTACTCTTGTTTTTATCAACTTACTTCATGTTTCGGTGTTTTCAGAGAAAGAAAATCTGTGCTTGTATGGATTCCCTAGCGAACAATGGGAGGTTAACCTACCTGCAGAAGAGGTCCCTCCAGAGCTTCCTGAGCCTGCATTAGGTATCAATTTTGCAAGAGATGGAATGCAAGAAAACGACTGGTTGGCTTTAGTTGCTGTCCACAGTGATGCATGGCTACTTTCTGTAGCATTCTATTTTGGTGCTAGATTTGGTTTTGACAAATCCGACAGGTTCTTTCATCTCTGTTTCCTTCATCAATGGTGGTTAGGTTACTTTTATAATCATTACATTCTGATTTCTGATGTAGGAAACGCTTGTTCAACATGATAAATGATCTCCCAACAATCTTTGAAGTCGTGAGTGGAAACACCAAGAAACAAACAAAGATGGCTAACCACAGCAACAACAACAAATCAAAGTCAAACACCAAAGGGGTATGATATGATTTATGAGACTTTATTTCCATTGTTTTATTGATAATATATTGAAAATCTGTTTTGGTTGAATGTTTGATATGAACAGCAAGGGTCTGAATCCTTTCAGGGGAAGTATGGTAAGGTGGATGAGGAAGAAGAAGATGAGGAGGAGGATGAACATGGTGATGCATTGTGTGGGGCCTGTGGAGAGAATTATGCTTCTGATGAGTTTTGGATTTGCTGTGATTTGTGTGAGAGGTGGTTTCATGGGAAGTGTGTAAAGATAACTCCTGCAAAAGCTGAGCATATTAAGCACTATAAATGTCCTAGTTGTAGCACCAAGAGAGCACGACCTTGATGGTTGAATTTGAGACAAGTGTAGGAAAGAATGTTGGTTTTAATATGGTGTTTTGGTTATTTTTAGTCATTTAGATGGTGTTAATGTAGAAAGACTTGAGATCTTTTTAATTTTATCAACTTGTCCAGGAAATTGCAAAAAGAAAATGTTTTTCTTGGAATCTCTAGTTTACCCATGATTGCTTTTATGGATCTGTTTAACAAATTATCAGAACATTTTGCTTAAAACTGTTAAATGAAACATGCATGTTCTTATGTTTAGTTGGATAAAAGAATAAAATGGACTAGGTAATTGAATAAACAAAGATAATAGGAGTCATTACCTTTGATTTGGATATGCTTTGTTCTTTAATGTTGAACTGGGTTGTTGGAGAGGTAGAGTGCACTAATATTATCACAATACACAATATTTGTGTGCTTGTTGAATTCTTTGATGATATTTTTAGGATATATGATCTGTTATTCAGAAGTTAAAAATTTAACTGACAAATTTTCAAATTTTGAGAGTAAATTTATTTCACAAATTTTATTTCATGGGATGAAACATCCTTATATAGACATTATTTTACAAAACACAACATATGAAATTAGTAGTACACATACTATTCTACATTATCGCATTATTACAAACCACACATACCTAACAAACATATTGGATGTTACGATGCATTATTGACTTATGTGTCATAAACACAATACATTCATACTGTTACATACATATTGGATGCTACTATATACATCATTGACCTATGTGTCATACACACAATACATTCATACTGTTACGTTTATGATAAAAAAATCGATATATCATAATTATTACAGATAATAATTGTATCGTTCCATTATTGGTGCTTCTTCTAAATTTTTTGTATACTATTGGCAATGATGTCTTGTTGCGTTGAGGATTTATTGATGAGTTCTTCAAATGTATTTTTTTCTCTCTCCTAGTAACTCAAGAAGATGCTTGGTGAATTATTCAAATTTACCGACTGTTTGTAATCATGCTTGATTAATCTGTCTTGTGTTGTCTTGGAAATAAAATAGCATAATATCACTTCAATATTTGATTCAAAATTATGTTTTTTTTTTTTATTTCTATTGGTGCCTATTCTGGAACTGACAAGACACTTATTAATACCTAATGACTTGTGGTACTACCCATTTTTAGTAGGACAATTGTTGGGACTAATAGTTTGGATTTTTCGTCAAAATCAAATAACTTGCATGTAATTTGATAAAAAAAAAATCTTTGCAAACCGGTTGTAACAATTTTTTTACGACTACATGCATTTTTGTTGTAAACTCACGTATTTCTTGGTGTGTTTCCACTTATGTAAAGTGTATCAATGAACCCTTGAAATGGTGTCCCATAGTTGCATTCAAGATTGGTTTAAATACAATACAATACAAGACATTAGCTAAAGGGTTACATAAGAAAATATTGTGCTATATACAATACAACTAATAAAGTAAGGTCAAGGGCCGTTCAAACTTCAAAGGTTTTTTTTGGCTTTACCCCTTGAATAGTTAGTTAACCAATGAGGGAGGGCATGCCATATTGCCATATAATACAAATCACAAAATAAATACATTCAAAATATTCGTTGCAAACTAAGAAAATTGAAACCAAAAAAAGCTTTTGAGTTAAAACCACAACATAAGAAAATGCCAAAATGGCCTACACAAGCTATAAAGTAGAAGAAATTTCCATCATCCATGCCATGAATTTTGCCTTTAGCTGTACACAAGCAAGGATTCAAACAGGTTCCTCTTCCAATAAATTCATTTGCACCATAATTTCTTTTCAACAAAACATCTTTATCTTTATAAGTTATATAGCAATCTGTTCACAACAGAAGCCATTTTATTTTCATAAAAAACCTGCTCCACTTAGCAACCTCACTGTTTCATTAGGAATGATAACATTGGGGTTCCTAACAGTAACAGGTGGGTCCACCTTCCCTTTCCCCTTCCCCTTTGATGAGACACTCCACAAACTACCACCACCACCACAAGATTTATCAGCAGCTTTCGATTTCATCAGCGGATGCTTCCCATTCTTCTTCCCCATCCCATTCGCCACCAACCACCGCGATCCCGCCTTCTCTTGTTTCGCATTCGACCCCCACCCCCAAATTCCCTTTTTACCCCCCTCGTTCACACTCTCACTCTCATTCTTCACACCCGCAACATGAACATCCACAACCTTAAACTGAGGAACCAAAACACTTTCTTCCTCAACAACCACCACCTTTTTATCTTCTTCAACATCTTTAACTTTCACCTCATCTTCTTCTTCTTCTTCTTCTTCTTCGGGTTTTCTCCAGTAAATGGAGCTGTGAATTTTGGGTTTTGGTGGGACAAATACGCGTTCCACTTGAACAAGAGCAAGCATCGGTGTCCCAACCGGTTCAAAGTTTCTTAACGGGTCACGAAGCTGAACCATTAACGCAACCGTAAAATTATTCCCCAACAACCCGCCTTTCTTGTTTTTACCTCCTCTTTTTACCCTTGCCACGTCACTAGCATGATGAGCTGTAAGAATTCTTGAAGTTCTTTCACTCTCGTCGATTTCACCGCTATCCAATCTCATCCATTCGTCTAAACTCACTGACAAACCCATCATCCCATCCATACCATCATCATCATTATGTCCATCGTTTCCACCATTGTTCTTCACATCCAACAACTGTAACCCCCCAGTTCCCAAATTTACCCTTTTACCCTCCAGAGCAGAAACTTCGCCTATGGATTTTGGGCTTACGTTTGAAGGTGCTTCATTATCAGACATCCCGGATTGTATTCTTAACCCCTCCATTGATAAAGCTTCGATCTTGTTCATTGCCAAGGGTGCAAGATCCTCTAAAGAGACATATTCTGGATCTGTATCACCCAAATCGTATTTTCTTGATCTTTGACTTTGACTTTGACTTTTACCTACGATGGATGATGATGATTCTTGTTCTAAAGCTATTTGTTGGATGGTTTTTCCAGATATATCTTCTAAAGGCATGAGCTTGTTTGCTTGAAATGAAAGCTTTTCAATACCAACAGAAGCTAAACCTTGTAAGACATCCATAACTCCAGACCCCATTTCTGCAGGGACAACAACTGGACTTGAAACCTGCATGATCAAATTCCCTCCATTTTTACCATTCTTGAAAATCTCAGGGCTCATTGACCTCAAAAAACCTCCATTACTTGTCTCAACAAACGGACCTAAATTGTCTCCAAGTGGAGGAAGCTCAAGTGGTTCTTCAGGAGAAAACTCAACTTGACTTTTTGTACTCGATTCGAAAACCTTCTCGTTTAGACCCCACTCACGCATCAAAGCTTCTGATTCCATGTCTTCCATGATCGATGCTTTTGTTTTGTTATGTTCTTCAGGTAACATTGAGGTGGATGAAGAGTCACAAATGAAATCATCATCATCATCAAGATTGAAGTTGAATAAAGAAGAACCATTGGTCAATGCATCTTTTTCAAATTGTCTTAGTAAACGTTCTCGTGGAGAGTTTGACTCGCTTTCAGAAGTCAAACTGAAAGGGCTGTGGTCTATTCCAAGCATGTTTAAGAAATCTTCAGCTACAACTTCAGTAGCATGATCTAATTTCAGTGCCTTTCCTTTCTCTTTATAACTGATTTTAACCTCCATGTTTTCATTTTCTTCATATTCAAAACCTGCAACACTTTCTGTTTCTGTCCCCTTCAAACCCTCTTCATCTTCTTTTGGATTTTCGCTTTCTTCTTGAGAATCTGAATCTTCATTCACATTGTTCAAGGCCAACTCCAATTCTTGCATGATTAATTCTTTTTCATCAAAGCTTTGATCTTTTGAAGTACCCTCTTCTTCATCTTCTTTTAGATTCTCACTTTCTTCTTGAGAATCTGACACTTCATTCACATTATTCAAGGCCAATTCCAATTCTTGCATGATTAATTCTTTTTCATCAAATCTCTGATCTTTTAAAGTACCTTCTTCCTCTTCATAAGCTTTTATGTCATGTTCTGGTGTTGCCTTTTCTTTCACAGAAAACTCTATTCCTTGTTCTAGGATAGAAAACTCACTTTTCTCAGGAGCAGGAGTGTCAAAGTCTTGAACATCTCTTTTGGTTTCATAGTCAACAGATATGGTTGACTTATCTTCATCGAGTTTCTTATACAGCATACTAACAGATTCAGAAAGTTCTGATTTTGAAACTGGAAAAACCTCATGAAGATCCTTTATATCTTCTACAGAACGATTGTAAGAACGAGAATTAACAGGAAGACTTTCACCTCGCTTCATTTGACTTTGACCAGTAGGAGATTTAATGTTGTCAACTACTGAATACCCAAAGCTGACATTCATACTTGCACCTTTTGCCTTGCCTGATAATCTATATGTAGTACTCCACTTTCCTGAGCTTTTTTCATCTTCAAGCTCTTCTAATGTAAGAGGGAGTAATCTAGTAAGGTCAACCCTGTGTTTTCCCAAGTCAAGCTCAGGGTCTCCATACACAGATGCATACAATAAAAAGTGTTTTGCTTCATATTTAGCTGAGTGATGGGGCCCACTCCTGCTACCATAAACAGAGCAAGTGTTGGTCAACAGTTCTTCAAATTCAGCTACACCTTGGGAAACTGGTGCAGGGTGAGTCGTCAACTCACCATCACGTCTCTTCCACTTGACACAGAGTGTGAGATTATCAAAACTTGGTGGGAGTCCTTCGATTGAATGGACTTGAAGAGAGAAACAACAGTTGAATCTCTTGTTGCGGACATGTGTGAAAGATTTGAAGGTGTTCCAACTCCAAATGGACTTCTTGTCCTTTAGAAACCGATCTTCATTGTTGATTTTAGATTTAGATTTTGTTTCAGGAAGATGAGGTTTAACAATGGCTTTTGATCTGCTACTGGCTGTAGAGTTTATGATGCTCCTGGGATGTGTTTTATCTTCATATAATGCTTTAGTCAATACATCGATATCCTTGAACAATATTCCATTTCCAGAACCCTCACCACTTCTCCTTTTGAGATCGTTTTTTGACATCCTCTTCACTACCTACAGTTCAACGAATATCAAAATTAACCTTTTAGGAAAAGCTCAATTCATAAATCCTACCAAAACAGCACTGTTCATGAAACTTTTCAAACTTCAAAT